TCTTTCCCTGATTTGTTCTTCCTCAAATGTAATGATAGAAACCTTTGATGGCATTTGTATTTATTGTATTGGGTGAAGGAATGAAGTATGAAAGAATAGTATATAGTTCAAGAATTGGTCAAGAGCAAAACTGTAGCAGCTTTCATTTATCCTCCCTCTCCCTTTTTCTTTTTCTATTTGTTAAAGAAATTGAGTTGTAGTCGTAGATTTGAAAATTTAGTAACTTAGTATTCTCATTTTCCCTGAAAGCAGATTTTTTTTTTTTTTTTTAATTTTCAAATTGAATATTGTGTAACTTACATGATAGTGACTATCTCTTGAAATCTTGTTAGGAACTCATTTTGCAGAAAATTTGTGCCTTGAAAATAAGGTTTATGAATACCACATAAATTTTTCTATTGATATTTGCGAAAAGCCATAACACCAAATGATAAAAGGGGAATGGAAATTGTACCAGCTCAATTGCACATAGTATTGTGAAGGCAAAGAACAAAACTAGTTTGCCATTGGCAGTTTTATGCGAAAAATGGAAAGACTGAAGGAATTTATACTTTCCCGTGGAACATAGCTTGTGTTATCTAAATGCTTCTCTTTCATTGAAATATAAGCTACTGGTTTTTCAATCAATGACTGAATTTAAAAAAGCAAAATTCTTTCCTGTTATTTCTCTAAAATGTAGAAAACTCTAGAATATCGAGCAGGGCAAAAAAGTATAAATCCTCAACTGATTCATTTAGTCACATTGACATGATTTCTGCGATTGCATTTATAGAAAGAGCAGAAAACTTGCAAGGACATCAAGAACAAGAGAAAGATGGCAGCAAGGAATGTCAGAAATTGCCATGAAGCAAATACATAAAGCTTCATGAATTTCCGAACTTTGATGTTCATTCTACCATTATAATGCTGGTTAACATCTTCAATGACTTTATCCAAGAATGGCACCCTTGTCAATTTAATGGACTTGCTCATCCCATTCCACAAGTTAGCCACCTCTTCATCACTCTTCAAGTGGTTCAAAATAACCCCTTTGTCTCTAAGAATCATTGCATCTTTTTCAGTGTCTATAATCCCATTCATCAATTCAGTGTAACGAGTGAAAACCAATGACCCTGATGCAGTTGACGCTTCATAAGCAACTAAGTTTCTCAACAACACTTCACTGTTTATGTCCAAATCTATTGTTGGAAGATACAGTGTGACTGTTTTTACATCAAATGTAATAGTTGATATGTCTCTATTGGTGGCCATGAAACAAACCCCAGACTTCGAGAGTTCTGTGACTGAAGGAATAGCAATTTCCTCCATTAAGGGTGGTTTGTTGATGACATTATCAGAGCTTAAATTCCCATTTTCTGCTTCGGTTGCTTCTTTATCTCGAGAGAAAATGAAGTACTCAACAGGTTGCTTTATAACTCCTACTCCAGGAAGGTTAGAAATGATTGTCCAAGGCAACCAAGTGATAACTTTCATGGCTCTACATTGCAGGACTTTCTTAATTAAGCTTATGAATGCTGTAACCAAATTTGCTAGCACCCTCCAAACCTCCCTTAGAAATTGCTTGACATAGTTCAAGAATGATTCTTCATTTTCCTCTTCATCTTTGTGTTGATCCTCAAACTGAACCACATCTGATTGTTCTTCCAATTTAGGCACAATCATGGCATACAAAAAATCAAGCAAATGTGCACACTTTAAGACATTGATCTCTGGATAGTCCTCCTCAATCACCTTGAAAGGAGAGAGTTCTTTAAACAATCCTATCAACATTGCAAGCAGCATGTCATCTGCCAATTCTATTGATGAGAATTTGAACTCCAACATCTTTCTCAACACAAATAGTGGAATCTGATTCTCAAGCATTACTATGTCCTTCAAGATTGCATTATGAGCAATTTTCCTCCCTTCATAATCCATCAAGTGAGACATTCTAGATGAAACTCCCGGCACCATTCTTCCGTCTTGAACGGTATAAACTTGAAGAAACTCGAGCAAAAACGAGGCATCAATGGCCATCATCCACGCCATTGTTTCGCCATTGAAATTCAAGTACTTGTGGTAGCATGATCTTATCCTAAGTTCTAAATTTATCAATTGGTCAACTATGTGATCCAACTTGAGGCTTTGTAGTTCTTTTTGGAATCTTTTTGCTGAAGAAATTTTATATCTCTCCATCTCATATAACTCTTGACGCCAATAATGATAAGGTCCTATGGCAACTTGCTGAGGGATATAAGAATCTGGATCAGTGGCCATAAGGGGCTTAGGCACATTGAAGATGGACACAGGGAATTGATCATCATCATCTTCAAGCACTTCATTAAGAGTTTCACGTATTTGAGTCACCCACCGAAGCTCATCAAAATTGGCTTTGGAGTGATTTGTCGTGGTGGGTGTAAAATAAGACATGTTTTGGAGAAATTAGTCTTGGTAGGAATGAGTTGATTTGGTTCTGTGTTTGATGAAAAAGTGAAGGGAGTTTAAACTATAATGTGCTTCGAATATCATTAATTAATGGCCATTATGTGACAGCTTTCTGTTCAATAGAAAGAAACGCTTTCCATATGCTTAAATGTAAATTAATTCAGTAAGTTATTTCTTGCCAGCAAAATCAAGAGTTCGTTTTGTCTCAACCTTTTCTTTTAATGAAAATTCACTTTTATTTTACAAAAATAAATTCACTTAAAAATATTTATAATTCTAATCAAATAAAAAATGGCTTCTACCTTTTATAAACTGTCTAATAAATAAATAAATTGTTGTTTTACATATCCTTAAAATTTCTTTTATTTTAAAAAGCTCAATAAAATATTTTTTATATGATAATTTGGGTGTTTAAGCATGTTTTCTTATAATATTATGTAACAAAATTAAAGAAAAAAAACTCCTGTATAAATTTAAAATTGGGGCAACGTTCACAATTTTTTTTTTCTTACTAACATCGTAAATGGAAGAAATGAAATGTAGAACTGAGGAGAAATTTAAAAACATTTTTTTTAATGTTTTAATGTTACTTAATAAAACCACTGAGATTGAATTTCAATTAAAATTAATTTTATTTCCTTTAATAAACATCTTAGTTTTCCAAATTTTAATTAATATTTTCATTTTTATTATATTTTAAAAAAACATGAAACAAGGATTTAAAAAAAATATGGAAATAATGTTATTATTAGTTTACATTTTTATAAATCGATTTGAAAATGACCATTCATTGTTTAATTTTAAGCTATATTTGATCCTCGCCGTTCACCTAACTTGGCACACATCCAACGGCTCACATAAAAGGGGTTCATATCATCTTCTATATCCAATTTCTCTGGGATTTGGGTCCCTTGAACCCTCCAAAGCTTCCTCTCAGCTCTGCCACAGAGACATAACCGCGGTGGTTTATGCTGTTTCTAGTTTATTTTATTCTTATTGGGTCATGCTTTGTTTTTTCATTCTTGCTACACATTGATATGCCCCTTTTGTTGAGTTTACCGTTTCAGGTTCACTCTTGTCTTCACAAGCTTTGTTTTTTTCCCTTTCTCAGTGCCCCTACCCATGCCAATGCTTATGTGAGAATGCGTCAGAGCTACTTTAGCATTGTTTTCTTGTCACAATCCAAATACTCAATTGGGTCAACAGGGTTTCATGAGTCCACGCCACTGTCCAAGGACACTGTTCCTCCTGTTGTTGGCTTTGGTCTGTGTCAAGAAGAAGAATTTCATGATACCACCCCTTTTATGTCCAAGAAGGAATTGCCTCCTTGGGGAGAAGTAGAGTTGGAAGATGGGGGTGATGATGTTGAAGGAAGAGAAAAATTTGATACATCTTTAGTGTCCAAGGAGGAATTGCATTATTGGGAAGAAGTAGAACTGGAAGAAGAAGAAGAAGAAGATGATGATGATGATGATGATGATGAAAGAATAGGTGTTAATGCATATTTTGTGGCCAAGAAGGAATTGCCTCCCTGGGGAGAAGCAGAAGATGATGGACACCGTGATTCTAGGTCTGTTGAAACTACTTTATCAGTTTCAGAGAGGATGGGGCTAATGAATGAGCATGGAGCACTTTTTCTGGAGGAATTGGATGAGAATGTGCTGTCTAATAGGATTTTGGTGCTTAGCAGAACTAACAAGATTAGAAGTGCAATGGAGTATTTTAGGTCGATGGAATTATCGGGTCTTTCTCCAAGTATCCATGCTTGTAATTCTCTTATTTCTAGCCTTTTGAGAAATGGGTGGTTTGATGATTGCTTCAAAGTGTTCAATTTTACAAGAGCAAAAAGGATAACTACAGGGCATACTTATAGCTTGATTCTTATGGCACATGCAAAAGCTCGTGGTTGCGATTCAGCCATTAGATTCTTCAGAGAACTAGAAAGTGAATGTGATGTGGAGAAGGATTTTGATGCAATTGTTTACAACACCATGATATCTATCTGCAGAAACATTGACAATTGGAGTGAAATAGAGAAGTTGTGGAGGAGTATGAAGGCAAATGGATGTGTTGGAACACGTGTCACTTATAACCTTCTAATCAATAGTTTCATACGATGCGACCAACGTGATCTTGCTCTTCATGCCTACCATGAAATGGTTCAAAATGGATTTGAACCAGACAGCAATACATTGAATGCTATCATTAGTGTATGTGCTAAGGAGGGAAAATGGGATGTTGCATTAAGTGTATTTATGAAAATGTTGAAGGGTGAGCATAAGCCAAACTTAGTGGCATGCAATGCATTGATTAACTCACTGGGAAGAGCAGGGGAGCTCAAGCAAGCATTTGATGTCTACAACACGATGAAATCATTAGACCATAAACCAGATGCATATACATTCAATGCTCTACTGAGTGCTCTTAACAAGGCTGACAGGCATCACCAAGCTCTTGAGCTTTTTGAGATGATTGAAAAAGATCCAACGTTTCAATTCAATATACATTTATACAATACTGTTTTAATGTCTTGCTCAAAGCTTAGGTTGTGGGATAGAGCTATAGAAATTTTGTGGCAGATGGAAGCTTCTGGACTGTCTGATTTGACAATGTCATATAATCTTGTTATCAGGACCTGTGAGCTTGCTAGGAAGCCATCAGTTGCACTGCAGGTGTACAAGCACATGATTCCCCAAAAGTGCAGTCCAAACATATTTACTTATCTTTCCGTGATTAGATGCTGTGTTCGTGGAGATCTCTGGGAAGAATTAGAAAAAATCCTAAATGTGAGTAAAAATCATTTTCACAGCAACATATAGTGTTGAAAACGTTTTTCAAAGAGATCCTAGTTTAACCTCTGTCAATGTATAGATGTGTTTATGCTAGAACTGTTTTCAGACAACACAACGATTTCATCAAAATAATTTATGAATTTTATGCCCTTAATTTATGAATTGTAAATCATATCAATCATGAAAAAGGTTGTCATTTAGTATGAGTGCTATTGTAAACATTCTAAAAAAATCCCCATGATAGTAATTCTTTCAAAAACCTAGCCTTGAGAAAGTTGCCAAACAGTTACATGTAGTAAGTTAAATTTAGTATTTCTTGGTCTTGATATAATAAATAGAAGCCACTCACAGCTACATATGGATCCAATTTGTCTTTCTTGAGGCAGATAATTATAAATTTTAATTAGAATAATAGGTTATTTTCCTCATTTTGTGGTCTGACAAATATTTGTCCTCCTTGTTATGTGTTCCTTTTGCAGCAGACCAAGCCAAATGCCACTCTTTATAACGCTGCCCTTCAAGGGCTGTGCTTACGAGGCAATGTTAACTTGGCAAATAAGGTCTACACAAAAATGCTAGAAAATGGTCTTCAACCTGATGTCAGAACACAAGTACTTAAGCTCCGTATGATGAGGAAAAGGAAATAGCTGGTAGTCTATTAATTGGTATAACCAACACAACAGTTTTGACCATAAGGAGGAGAATATCATAATCATAGTCAGTTGAATCGAGGCACCGATTGAATAATAAATAGTTCTTTTTTTGGGTCTTGGGAGAGTGAATAGCAGACTAAAATGTTGGTGTAAGTCAGTAACAACTGTATAGTCTAAAGTTATCATCTACCCTCTTTTCTTTCTTTCTTTCTTTCTTCCTTTGGTACCGAGGTATGTAAAGAATCTTCTTGTTTGATATGTATGTAAATGATATAAATGCCCATGTCTTGTACATTTTCTTCCTGTTATATTCAAGAGTTCAAGTAAAGTCATGGACTTGGTAGTTGTCTCTCTTGTTACTAGTTTGTGAGTATTCTTCCTCGGTGTTGATTCTGTATAATTTCTTTTGCTCTTAAACACAAGTTCTGATATTATCCTTTTAAGTGTTTCAAGATTTTGCTCTCCTCCCGTTGGTTCTTCTTATGATACGTGGTCAATCATCCCTTTCCTTTTGTCTGCTGAGAAATTCCGAAGATCAATACTTTAGTCTGACAGAAGAAAAAAAAATGTGAAAACAAGTAATCCCCCGGAGAACTCTGTTCGTACTAGGTATATATTTATATGTTTATACCAGGTCGACTGTTGCGGTATGTGATCTCAACATATGTACAGAAATTATCATTTTCATCCATTTCTCAGCTTCAGATTTATCTTACTCGGAGTCTTGGCACAATTCTTCTAAGGCCGAAGTACGGAATTACAATGGCCTGGGTTCATAGCCAAGACAATCAAAAGAAACTTTGTTGTGTTTTGGTTTACACTAAATTTTTGTGGCATGTGAGCTGGTTGAAGGCACTGTTGAGGTGCAAGATAAATATTGATGACTTATAATTCTTAGTATGAATCAATATTGAGGTTAACAGAGTGAATAAGCGTCGGAACTAAGCATTGCGTTTTGTGGTATCAAATAAACACGTGGAAGTGCTACTTCCTTTTTCTGGTTCAAATGTATGAATCTCACTGCTTTTCACTTTGCTTGTGTTTCTTCCAATGAATAGTATTGTGTATATTCAAAAACAATTATCGGAATAAAATAACAAGATAATCTCCCTTCAAAAAAAAACAAGATAATCTATTATATACGCGAAAGTTCTGAGTCAAGTGCCAATAGAATCATATATTCATTCAATTGGGGACAGGGGAACTTTAGATTGGTGATTTGGTATACTTGAATTTTTTATTCATTAAATTTTTCCCCCTATTACACTTGTTTTCTAGATAAATCACTGCTGTAAAGAACGACAGGGAAAGACTATTGATAACAAGGACATTTTACCATGCAACATTATACTTTCTCTACTAGTTATTAGAATATTACGATTTGAGTTTAATACCATTTGATGCAATTCAATTAACTATTTATTAGTATCATAAATGAATATCAAATTGCTTTATATCTTATAATACAACAATGGTCATTGATATAATTTTGTATCATCAACAATTTGTTAATTTTTCCTTTTCATTGATCAATTTTCATGAAAGAAAGTAAAAATCATACAAGTTTAAATTGTTAAATGAAAAGAAATGAACAAACACTTCTAAATTTATCATTTTTATCATTTATCCTTGTCTCATTCAGTGCATGTAAACTCGACTATTTCGTTGCTTCATTTTCATTCTTTCAAATTAGAAGTTTTACCAACTCATATATAACTAACAATTTTGTCTTACGAGACTTCATGGTTTAGTTGTTTTATATGTTTCTAGTTTAAAACTGTTACATTGAAAACTATATATCATCTATATGATATATTTGAACTTGTTTTTCATTGTCTCTATTCTAAACCAACCAATTCAAGATAAATTATGATTCAAGATTCAAATTCATGATTTGAATACCCTGATCTCTACAATGCTCCAAGTGATGGAATATTAAATGTTTGGTTTCTCTCTACTGGTTGAGAATAAACAATGTAATCATGGAGAAGCAGCACATTCAATGTGCTGGGTTGTCTCAACCAAGCAGCTACTACAGGTCCTTCTGATACAAACCTCCCCAAATTACACTCAGCAATCTGAAAGGGTGCACCAATGCCATTCACCAGTGCCTCAACAGCCTTTCTTAAAGCGCCATTGCCCACTACTTTACTATGTTTGCCCCATCCAGTTAATATGCTGCAAAAGAAGAGTTATGATTAAAACTTCATCTCACTAATCCAATTAAAGGATAACAACAGTAACCTCAAGAGGGAAAGACACAAACCTCAATATCGGTGGTGGCTTCTGGCCTCCAAACACTGTGGTACGCAATTCGAGCAACCATGAATGCACCATTGCACAGGCTGCTCCACAAGATGTCAGATGTAAATCCAAGCATTCAGTAGACCAACCCCCTTTCCACACATTTCGGTTTCTCCCTTCAATCACTACCATCTGGGCCCCTAGTTTCTGATGCAAATATCATAAAAACAGAAAGAAAAAAATTTTAAAAATGGGAAAGTTAGATTAATGTAAAGGTGCATCTCCTATAAACTCCCAATATTAATCATCCTATATTCCTATTGATGAGACATGAATAAAGCACATGTAATAGCAAATTACAAAACTAACAGATGTAGAAGTAACATATTTCTAATCACTCAATTTTACCTGACCAAAATGCCACAGCATATCAGTCAGTGCATTATAAAATGCAGACACTGTTGAAGAATCCATGTGCTCGAGTTCATCAAATAGAGTTTGAGCCTGATCCCATATGCCTTGCCCGTGACCCATAAGTAGCCCATGAGCTACGCCATAGACATCGCTATCAAATATGCGGAGCTCGTCTAATAGCTTTGAAGCATCTTGAAATGTCTCGCAACAACTGCATCCAACAAACCAAATTATACACTCAGTAACTTGTTATATATTTATCAGAGAATATTTAAGTACATGCTAAAAAAATTGAAGGAAAAACAAAAATAGTAATAGATTGTGGCAAACAGAAAAGAGCATCAAACAAGTCACCCATGACCAGGTAATGCATTGAAAAGAAAGGATACGAAGTAATTGCAACTTAGGACAAAATCCCAGTAATTCAAGATGCAGGTAACACTCAACATAATCAGGGGGATAAAGAGGGATGGACAAAGTGAAATAAATCACAGTCAAATATGGCTGGTTTTCTAGTTTCCAATTAGAGAAAAAGAAGAAAAGCTTTAGTTGTGAAAATTGGACCTATTCCTTGAATAATAATAATAAAAAAGGCATATTACAGTCACAAAACCCTCTTGTATAGCAAACTGAGCTTAAAATAAAAATCCCAAGCCTTAGAGTATATCTAATTATAAATATCTAAATTAACTTAAATAAAAAGAAACTAAAAGAAATATGTAAACCATAAAATAACACTGCCACAAAACATACAAGTGTGAACTGTTAACCATCTGGAACTATGCATGCTACATTCCTGGGGGAAAATAAACAATGACTTATGCCTTTCCATTTGAAGCTGATGGAAATCCATTTTCATTTACCTCTTCTATTCTAGGGTAACATGTAAGTGACTATATAGCATAGAATGGTGTAAGATGAACAAAAATATTGGATAGTTATTTGCTACCTGCAAGCATTCAAGATGGCTGAAAATGTGACCACATTTGGTTTGATTTTCATTTCATGCATTTTTTGAAAGATCTGCACTATGTAGAATTTGTCTTGTCTGGTCCTTTTATCCTTCTTCGTAAGACCAGCATTTTCAGCAGCAAGCTGCTTCAACATCTTCATGATTTCATCGTTGTCCCCATCATCAGTCTTCTGACCTTGAAACTTACCTGCAATAATTTGATGCTCATTTGCTTGAAAAGAAGCATCAACCATACATTCCAGAGCTGGCATCTGTCCTACTCTAAAGGCATCAATAATGGAGTTGTAAGTCACAACATTTGGACGACTTCCTTTCTCTGTCATCACATCAAGCAGCCTCAGAGAAGATTTGATCAGACCATTTTTGCATAAAGCATCAATGAGAGCACTGTAAAATACAACATCTATCCCCATGCCTTCCTTCTTGAACTCTCTATAAACATCAATTGCCTCAGCATACATTCTACCTTTAGTGTATATTTTAATAAGTGTTGAGTAAGTTAGATTATTAGGATAAATGCGTCTCGCTTTCATCTCATCAAATAATTTCCTGACCTCAACATACTTGTTGTGTCTGCCATATCCCTCGATCAATGCATTATAAGTTACTATGTCATTTTTTATTCCACAACACTCCATCTCTTTGAACTTACTCACTGCCTCATCAAACCAACCAAGATTTGCATAAAGTCCAACCAGCGTATTATATGATACCCTGTCCAACCTAATCAGCAGGTGCTTCATTTGATCATATACATTCAGGGCGTCTTCAAAGTGTTCAGCCTTAGCATAGCCAGCCATCAATGTACTATAAGTCACCACATTGGGCCAAATGTTCTTAGCAGGCATCTCCACATCAATGACATGCCTGGCGAGATCCATCCGTCCACCTTTACACAGTGCATCCACATACGTATTATAAGTATACACATCACGCCCGATCCCTTTCCATTCCATTTCACCTAACAAATCCTTACACAGCTGCCACCTACCCTTCGGGACACAAGTTTTGAGAAGCGAATTGTAAGTTAGCCGATCCGGCAAACAGCCGGCCCCAGTCATCTCCTCCAAAAACTGAACAACTGTTTCAAAGGCAACTTCCCCTTTGGCCCCTGCATCAATAATAGCATTGTAGGTAACCAAATTGGGCTCCAATCCAAAGTACCCCATGCTCCTGAACAAACTCACAGCCTCCGGAAAGCAATCGTTCCTGCCAAGTGCACTAATCATGGCAGAAAAGGAATAAACAGTGTTTCCATACCCTCTACTCCTAGACTCTTCAAATAAGTTCAATGCAAGCTCAATCTTCTTCAACATACCAAGGGTCCTAATCATGTTGCTGGTCAACTTCCCCCTGAAGGTAGTATCAGTGGCCCTACTCATGGCAAACTCGTAAGTCCTAGTGGCTAGTAAGAGGTCACCAGTATTGGCAAACTCCTTAAGCAAATAAACATAATCCTCAGCAACATAAAGTCTATAACTAAGCAACACACTATCTATGGCAGCAACATCATTACCAGCATTGGTGAGGCTATGCAGGACCTCCTCAGCAGCCTTTGAGTGCTGCTGGTTGTTGGGGACGGCCCTGGGGCCGCCAGAGTTCATCTTCCCCGGGTTCCGGCTCGACCGCCGGCCGGAAAAGTCCGGCGCAAGCCGGGTTTTCTGGCCGCCGAGCCAGGGGCTGAGGGAGGATGAGAATGCAGTGGCAGCTGCAGAGGGAACACCTGCACCTGCACAAGCACCTGCATCAGATGCAGGTGAGGAATAGTACCTGGTGGAGGAGGAGGAAGACCACCGGTTGCGGTTGTTGTTGCGGCGGTGCTGGCTCCTGTTCTGGTTATGGTGGTGGCGCTGGTTGTTGTTGTTGTTGGGGGGTCTTGGGGCTACTGAGGAGAAGTGGGTTGGTGGGGCTGGGGTTGAGGCCATTGCACAATTGAAGCAAAAGGGTACCTGAAATTGAGGTCAAGGTAGGAACTTTGGGCTGGATTGAGTGATGGGTGTCGAAGCTTAGTGGAGTGAGAGAAAGAGGAAGCAAGTGTCTGGTCTTTCAATTCAAACCCTTGACATTATCTTTGCTTCTTTTCCCTGGTGAATTCAACCATTTCCACATTCCACCTGCCTTTTCAGCTTCTGTTGTTATAACAAAATAATTGGATATGACCTAAAATTTAGTACTGTATCATTTTTAGCCTTACCCTAATCTAATGCATCTATCCTCAAGATTATACACTTTTCTTCTTATGACATTTTATAAAAGCTCGGGATAATTTTTTGTTGGAAAATTTCTTTATTTGTTGAACATCTAATATATTAGTATATAGTACCTAGAAATAGAGGGGGGAAAAAGCGATTACTTGAGAGAGAAATAGAGAGAAATGTTGAGTATTATTGAATTGAATTGTCATAATATGTCCAAATAACGGTACTTGTTGATTGTTTGGAGTGTTTTTAGTATTTTTGGATAATTAATAACGTGTTTTGTATAAAATAAAAAGTATTTATATATAAATATTTTTTAATGAAGTATTTATTGTAACGTAGAAAAAAAAATATTTTTAGCTGATTTAGTAGCCCAGAACGGGTTGTTCCCAGTCTGGAATGGGCCGTTCCAAGCTATTAAATTAGCCTAAATTTTTAGGTTAGGAACGGTTCTAGAACGGGCTGTTCCAAATTCCGGAATGGGCCGTTCCGGAAGGAAAACGGGTCGATCCAGAGGGAGAACGGGCCGTTCCGGAAGGAGAACGGACCGTTTCGGATGAGTCCTGGAACGGGCCGTTCTGATTTCAGAACGGGCCGTTCTGGGTGTGGGTTTTGTGCGTGAATTGGGAGTTCGGAACGGGCCGTTTCGATTCGGTAGGGGCCGTTCTGGGCAGTCCGGAAAATCTATAATAAATAGGGGTTAGGGGCCTTTAGGAGAACGTGAGTTTTTAGAGAGAAGTTTTAGAGAGAAGGTCTCTGGGTCAGTGAGCTCCTTTCTCTCCCAAATTTCTCTGTGTGAATCCTTTTCTCCTCTAGACCACTAACGCTTTCTGTCATTTCTTGAAATTCAGATTAGAAAGCTTGATTTGGGTGGATTGAAGTTCCGAGTTGAGTCTCGAGAGGAAAATCTACTTTTGTTCAGTTTTTGGCTTTATGAGCCAATCTTCAGGTGAGGGAAGCTAGAATGTAGATTATTTAATTTTAGGAGAGTTAGGGAAGCTTCATGCATTGTTTTATTTGAAAATGGTTAAGATGTTATTTGTGGATTGAGTAGCTGTTAGCTTAAGTTGTTCATATGTTGAGTGTTTATAATATTTGATGTTGTTAAAGTTGTTATATGTTGTGAAACTAAGTTGTTTTATGTTGTTTATTGTTAAATTGTTAATGGGTTGATATGCATAAGTTGAAGTAGTGTATTGTTGTAAAAAGTTGTTTAAAATTGTATGAGTTGCCTATTGGTGTAAGTTGCTTAAAGTTGTAAGTTGTCTATTGCTGTGAAGTTGATTATGTTGTTCAAGTTGAAAAGTTGGGGACATATGGTGAATATATATGTCCTATGTTGAGATACATAGTACTAAGGTGATAAATTGAAAGTTGTTTTAAAGTTGAAAGTTGTTTTAAAGTTGAAAGTTGTTTTAAAGTTGAAAGTTGTTTTAAAGTTGAATCCCTTAGTACTGTGTGGGCGACATGGAAATAGTCGATCCATGTCATGGTTGAATGACCAATTTGAGTAAGGTATCTAGTTAGAGATGCAGTCTTTAACTAGATACTGGAGGGTGCGTGGTACTTGGAGGACAGTGGGTGGGCTAACTCCACATGTGGATTGGTGAAGCTAGCCAAGGCCGTGGTAGACTCATACCCAAACCCTTCTGTCCTGACAGTAGTACTGGACTTCCGAGTCTAAGTGGCACACTTGAGAAATCAACTATTGTTGTCTATACCTGGTTCTCTTCGGAGTTCCTAAAGCTGTTCTATACCTGACCTGGTTGAGATAGGTCAAATGCTGGATTCGGTAGGGTTTATGCCACCTAGACTGCTCAACTTTAGTTGTTGGAGATCTCCCCATTGTATATACGTGACAATGTGTTTAAATATTAGGTTGTATATCGTTGTTGTTTTAAAGCTGCTTCTAAGTTGTATGAATAAGTTGTGTTTTTATGTTGAATAGTATGGTCATTTGTGATGATGATTGGATGAATGATTAGTATAGTGTTTCCTATACTTGTATGGTTGTTTATCGAAATTCTAGCTTACCCTTTTGTTTCCATGTGGATGGACTGTTATGATCATACGGTGTATGGGAGCAGATCAGGATTAGGTTAGAGCTGTTTCCTGAGTTGCTGCTAGAAGTGGAGTTTTTTTTTGGGTACCTAGTGTCAGAGTTATCACCTTGGGTAACAATTTTGTGCTTGACCGGCACTAGGAGATAGTAGTTTTGGATAATTGTATAAATACTAATACTTAAAAACTTTATTGTCTATATATATATATATATTTGTTCATGTTTTGTATTTATGAGTTATCCAATTTTATTATTTATCTTAATTTACAAAATTTTAGTGCGATTCCATTAAGTGTAGAGACCATGGCGGGTCGTTACATTTATCATAAATAACTTAAGAATATTTTTCTAAATGTATCTTAATAATATTATTCCTAGAGATATGATATGTGTTATGTAACACTATAAGTTCTAGTTATTTTGAATTAGTTATGTGACTAGATGTTGAATTGTTGTAGTTAATTAATGACTCTAAAATAATGGAACTTTAAAAGTTAAGTTACCTTTGAAATGTTGAATCAAAGTTATGTGATTAGGGTTTTCTTATGACTTGCACTTCATAAGCGTATTTTTAAGAAAATCTAGAGAGAAATTCTTTGATAATTCAAATATTCTTTCTTTGTTTTCTACTAAAATCTTCCTTTTCCTTTCTTTTCGTATCTAAATCCACTTGACTGAGTTGGAAGATCCAAGTGGAGTTGAAGATCTAAATTAGGATCATGCGGAGGGTTCCTTTTCTTCCTTTTTTCCTTTTCCTCTTCTTGGTTGAAACCTACAAGAGGTAAGGGAAGTTTGTAGTTTGATATTTTTTGTTGTATATGATGATTAAACCTTGTTGAGTCCTACTCGGATGAGCATTTGAGTTGAAACTTTGAAAGATAGAACTTTGAGTTCTTCGTTGTTGAGGTTGCTTGACAAGAAATGAAAGAATTGATGAGTTTGTAATGCATTGTTGTTGCATGTATGAATTGTAGTAAAGATGAGAGAATTTGTATTGTTCTTAAGTTGTTATGTTCATACTTTGATTAATGCAAGTTTTTTGGGTTTTCTTGCTCAAAGTGTCAATGGGGTTGATATGCATGACGATACATTAGTTGTTTATAATTACTTAGGTGGAATATGTTGTTAAGCTAAAGTTGATAAATGATGTTAATGTTAAGTAAGTGATATATTAAATTTGTTATATGTTGTATCAAGTTGCAAGTTGTTTGTGTAACACCCCAGCTGGGGTGTTACAGTTTGTGTAATATTTGATGTTGTGAGAAAGTTGTTTGAGATGTTGATATGATGATGTTGACTACAAGTAGAAAATTGATATGTTAAGTTGTATTATTGTAAGTTGTTCATTTGTGTTTATTACATTGTTTCTTTTCACAAGTTTACCCTTATTTTCTTTGTGGTTAAAATTGCAATGATGATATATAATATGAAAACAAGACATGCTTAACAGGTTGACTTGTATAGCTATTGGAGGGTCACGTAATTGGTGGCCATTTTAGGTGGTGTCAGTGGCATATTTTATGTATACAGGTATGTATGTATAGGAATTATTATGGGTTTTTATATTCTTTACATATAATTGTGTGCATGAAAATGGATACTTGTTGTATGATAATTCTATGTTAGTTGGTGTTTATTATTATTTTTTCATTACATAATAACTAAACTATAGTTTGGTTTAACTTATTTTAAGAAAATTGTTTGTTTTAACTGAATTCAAATATATGATAAAATAAGACTTTAATTTAAATGCATCAAGTAGGGATAAAAAGAGATAAAGTCTTAAATAGAGGTCTATGACCTAGCTTATTTAAAGTTTGACCTAACATATTTAATTAAAAGACCAGACTTAAACTTTTAAAAACCTATTAATTTTAAAAGACTTAGTTTAGACTTATAAAAAAATTATTAAGTTTGACAGATCAACCTATTTTTCTATATGATATAATAAAACATAATATACATATTACATTGTTAATGATATATAATTAAATAAATAATTTTGTAATATAAAAACATCAAATTATCAATGTTTTTAATATTTTCACTACACTTAAGCATTTTACATTTTTCATATGAAATTAAGAAATAAAAAATAATAAATTTAACATCTAGATTTACACATGTTTTTTATTATTTTAATTTTCATGGTTAGTTATTTATAAAGTTATTTTTTTTATAAGATTATATTATTTCATCATACTATGTGTGAGTTGTCCATCTTAATTAATTTTTTTTATCATACAAATTCTGAAAAGATTCGCCTTATTTAAAAATAGATTTATTCATTTATTTAAAATTATTTATTAACTTATTTAAATGTTAGTATTATAAAATAGACTAATAAGACATAATTTTTTTTAAAAAGATTAAGTCAGACTATACTTAAACTTTAATTTTATATAACATGTCATCTATATATTTAAAGTTTGATATGATTTGCTTTACTCTCATTCTTAATTACCTATATAAAATGTACTTCCCAAAATAATGAGTATAAATATTTGAAATTATATTTTGTATTTCCAAACTTTTACTGTTGTGAATTTTACTTCTAAACAATTTTATTTTTGTAAATTTTGTTCCCAAATTTTGACAATGTTATTGATCACACCCTTCTGATTAATTATTTGATAAAATATAAACAAAATATTAACATGACTTAAATTTCATTATATTATGTGTTCTAAAACTTTCATTTGTCGTAAAGTTTGATCATATTTTAACTTTTATTAATATTCATATAAAATATCCCATATATCATATAACTTATTATATTATACATATATAGTACAAATTAATATAAATTAAATAAACCCATGACATGCCAAACCTTAAAAAAATTATGTGAAATCAAAGTTTTATTAAAAAATATTCAATTAAAATTGTCAGACACAACTTAAAAAATAATCTAGACCTAATAATTTGGCCTATTTAAATATATTTTTTTGATAAATATATCAATTTTATTATGATATATTAAAATCATACATTTTTTTATTATTAAGTATAATGTCTTATTTAAAAGTCTCACGTAAATATTTTTTAAAAAAATTATCATCATTAACATCATATTATACCTTGAAAAAATGTATATCTTACAAATAAATTATCCAATTTTATCAAGTCTAACATTTTTTTTAATATTTTACCTTAGTGTTAATTTTTTTTTCAAAATAAGTCTTTAAATAAATTTGTAGGTCATATCAAAACTTTTATATAAATCAAGTTATACCTTGAAATAGAAAAAAAAAAAAAAAACTTATGACAAGTAAACTTGACTTAAGATCATGTATTAATATTTATGATATTTATTAGATTGAATTATCTAATATCAATTGCTTATTTTATATTAATATAAATTCAAAATAGTCATTTATATTCATCTCAAGTATATTGTGATAAGAAAGTTATAATTTGTAGCATTCTCAAAATTTGAGAGGGTAAAATTCAATTTATGAACATTATTAAAATATTTATAACCTGTCAAATAAATTTATTTATTATTGACATTCATGATTCTTAAAAATTATGATTTTAGGCATGAAAAATTTTCCTTATACTAAAGGTTTCTTTTGATGTCACATTAATATTTTATTTATATTTTAATGAATAATTAATGATAGATGTAAATTCATGACATTCTCAAAATTTGTCAATAAATTTCATAAAAAAATTATATGAAAAAAAATCGCAATAAAGTAAGAATTTAGAAATAAAAAGTACAAATAAGCCACTATAATATAGTTGATTTAAACATTATATATATACTTTAAACACTAACTTAGGTTAGTATAAGTGATGAGAAATTAACATCTAAATAACCAAAGTTTAAATCTTAACTCTTATAAATGAAAAAAAAAAAAATCAAGTTAAATAGAGATGCACCTAATCGATGAGTCTAATTCAGAGAGATTATATTTTTAATATTATTTTATTAAAATCAATTCAATTTTAGTTTAATTAGAACTAACCTAAATTGTTTAATGAGTTATTTTTGTGTTCTTATTTGTTTTAAGAGGAGAAATCTGAAATCCGCAGTGGTCTCCTTTGGCTTGGGTGTGTTGTTAATTGCTTGTCTTGCTTTGCGTTGCATCATTCTCTTCTTCAACCTCTCTCTCTCACTCACTCACTAGTCACTCCCTCCCAATGACCAACTCCATGGGTCCCCCTCCCCCCAAAAACCCTAATCCACCCTCTTCTCTCCCAGACTCCGCCCCACCGTCACTGCCTCCAGACTCTGCACCACCGTCAATGCCTCCTCCTCCGCCGCCTCGCGATTCGCCAAACCCTTCCTCTCAGGGCGTGGCGGTTCCCTACAAGATTCCTCCGTGGAGCGCCGCTCCCTGCCACGAGTTCTACCTGGAGGTTCTGAAGGACGGTTCCATCATCGACAAATTCGACGTCTGGGAGAAAGGTGCTTACATGTTTGGGCGATTGGATCTCTGCGACTTCGTGCTCGAGCACCCCACTATTTCTAGGTTTCACGCTGGTACGCCACAAAACACAACCACACTTTTCTATCTCCGTCTCTTTTTAATTGCTAGTAATTTACTCTTTAAATCCATTAGATAAACATGCCTGCAATCTAACATTCCGACTTATTTTAAAAGTGTCCAATGCATATTATGGCTTTAGGGTAAATTTCTCCAACAGCACTTCTACAAGAAAAAAAATAATAAAGTAAAATTCAAGTAAGCTCTTTCATAAGCTAAAACTAACTTATGTATAAGTTAAAAATTAGATTTTGGATAAGTCTATAGGATAGAGTTTCTACAAATTAGGTTGTGGAGGACCTTATTTCTTTTTTCCTTTCAGGAGGGAAAAAAAAAAATAGGAAGGAAAACCCAAAATAAGTTTTTATAAGTTAATACTAATTTATGCAAGTCAAGAATAAGATTTGGGAGAAGCCAATAGAATAGAGTTTCTATAAATTTGCATATGCATAAGCTAATTTTAACTTATGGAGAAATTTATTTCATTTTTCTTTAATACTTTTCTCTTCTTGAAGTGTTTATGGAGAAGTTTACCCAAACATGCCTTAACCATGCCATTTTTTGACTGACTTAGTTCTTAGGATAACTGTGCAACTCTCAACTGACTAGATGATCATGTGCCATGTCCATGACACCTAACCAAAGGAAACCCCTCTTGATCTTTATTTTGCAGGCTGTTGTATATTCTTTAACTGGTATAAAGAATAAGCAGTTAAATTGTTCACTTCAAGAATATTAGACTTGATTACTTCCTAGCATACGCTGGATGATGTAAACCTTAGCATGCCCTATCGTAATAGCCAATGTTACTGGATTACCTTAGCTGCATCCATTTTGAAAACATCTAGTCGTAGTAAAGTTAATAAGTTGTGCATGACTTTGTGAATTTCGTAATCAAATTTCATCCTTGCTGGTTAGTTTGTTACATTCTTGTTCAAATCATAGGATTTTAGTTTTAGGTATTGAAGGAGCAAACTGATAGAATAGTACTTTGAATAATATTCTCTTTAGTATTCTAATTTTAATGTGTTGCAATTTTGATACAGAACTTTCTTATCTATACCACAACTATTTCATAATCCTAAGTAAATAGGGAGACAAATCATGAAATAAAAGGAAATAGCTAAACTATTCCTGACAAATAATGCCCAAGATAATCTAAATTCTTTTAGTATATAATCAATATTTTAACAAATATCTTTCACAGATTTTAACAATTCATAAAGCTCATCCATGATTCTTACCAAGGTTTTTATTTGTCTTTTGTTAGTTATACAGTTTAAGAGAAGAGGAGATGCATATCTCTACGATCTTGGTAGTACCCATGGAACCTTTTTGAACAAAAATCAGGTAATACACAGCATTTTCTCTCCCTTCTAAATTTTAGTGATACTTTCTGTAAGATCTTTGAACATCAACTTTTTTGTGATCTCTACCTGTTCCTTACTATTTTCATGTTAGGAGAATATACTGTGGCAGAGATGCTGGAATTGTTTTTTTTCCTATTTAAGTTCTTATTCTTAAAATATTTTTTATCTGAATTCCCCTTCCTGCTATTTAATGTTTTTATGTAAGGCATAATGAGCCAGTTTGTTTAAACTTGAAAATATCAATTTAAAAAAAAACACTTTTTAAAATATTTATAACTTTATAGCATCAAATGACGTTACTCCTTTTCCTTTTTCCTCTTTGCTTAGGTGGAGAAAAACACATATGTTGACTTGCATGTTGGTGATGTCATTCGATTTGGCCGGTAGGTATTTGTGTGCTATTGTTGCTTGTAAACAAGTCTATTCCTCTAGTCCATACTGTTCTGGTTTCACTTGAGCCATTATTACTTATTATTTTATTTGGTGTAATAGGTTTATTTGTTTAGTCTTTTTATGAATCATGAGTTAGGTATCTGTTAGAATCTATGCAGTAGTTATCAAGCCATTAAAAAATGTTGCTAGTTGCAGCTTTTTTGAGGAACACTTGCTTCATATTTAGAAATTTTGGAGTCCAGTTGAATTGTGATGTGCAACAAATCCATTTGAATTAGTACATGATGTTTTACCCTCAGGGTCTTTATATGGTTGTTGCCATTTCAGATTTGTCTAGAGATTGATGTTGTCATTATGCATTGTTATTCTTCAATGCTGTTTTGCTGCTTCTTTATAGTTTTTGTTTTTAGTAATCTTCTGGGGGAGGACATGCTATCCTTCTGTCTTTGAATTTCTTTCTTAATGCAGTCGTCTGCAATTTATTGTACCTTGCTCTGTAAATTCTGTTAGACTCATTAGGCTCAATGTTCTTTTATCATTAAGAGCCATTGGTATTTGGTACTGAAGTTCCATCATTGGAGACTTTGTAGTTGATTTGGAGTTTCTGATTGTTTTTTGTTTTTATTGATTTTGAACTACTTTTTTTACAGCCTCCCCCACTCACTGTTTTTGTTGTTCATTATTTTTTTACCCTGTTGGTCAGTGGGAAAATGCCAACAAGAGCATAAGTATTTTGGGACGAGAATATTATAGATGGGTGGATAAAAAAGAAAAGATAACCAAATTGTTGAATATATTGGGGAAAAGATGATAGAATGTCTCCTAAAATGGTATGGGCATTTGGGAAGAACATCAAATGAGGCCTTACTAAGGACAATCAGATGGAAGATAGCTCAATAATTAGAGGTTGAATAAGACCAAGGAAAACTTTGAAAGAAACCATTACAAAGATTTTGATTATTGTTTGTGTTAATTTTTTTTAATCATTGATTATGTTCTTTAAATGTTGAGTGTAGATGTGAAGATGATAGGATTGAATAGATTTTCATCTACAAGGAATTTCATTTTCCTAATTTATGTTTGTATATATTTATCATTCATCATTCATCATGTATTAATTTGCAGGTCATCTCGCTTGTTCATTTTTCAAGGACCATCTGACTTGATGCCTCCTGTAAGATCTCGTGTTCTTTTCTTATATTCTTTTTCATTACATTTCTTTTTTTACCATTTTTCAATTTGTTTGGCAAATGTGTCTCAGTATCTCTCTTGAAAGGGAAAAAAATGTGTTCCAGCTCCCAAAATTTTATGTGCTTGGGATTAATTGCTTTGCACACACTCCATTTCTTATGATTTCTTTTTGCAAGTTACTATCTCGGTTTTAGGTGTTGATTTACATTGTTTTATATTTACTAAATGCATTTTCTATAAATTTGACAAATCCTCTGTTCAGTTCTCACTTTAGTCATTATGGACAAGGGGTGTTGGGCATTTATTGGGAACCAAAATTTAATGACAGACAAACAATATATTTCTGATGATCTGAGGAAGAAAATCAAGAACAAAAACTTGGCAGCAAGGCTGTCCATCATGTAAACATGCTGTGCTAGGAACTCCTAATGTAATGTAGGATAATTCTATAGTTTTAAAATATGATTAAAGAAAGTCATATTGCCAGGGTTTGGGTAGTTTACATATTCATCGTTGGACGCAGCTATGGCCTTGTCAAGATTTCTTTTGCCAACAAAGCACCACGGACATACAGTATCAGAACTAATATCAATTCTTACAACTTTCTTTTCAGAAGCCTCACTCATGATCCTGCTGTATCTGCAATATCTTCACAACATAACAAGTACTTATCAAGTAAGATTGCTATGAAAAGGAAGAACAATAATCTGTTACCTTTTATTTTTAAGAAAAAAGAAAATATTACTCATCAGTCATATTTCCTCCTAATGTCCCCAGACAGTTCTATTTATTTTCCTTTTGAACTACGATCCAAATTTCATAAAGGTACACGTTTGTTCAAAAGTTAAGGCTGGTAAAACAAAGACAATAAAGTGTAAGACAAAACTAAGGTACAGACTACAGAGATCAGAATAAGAATTTAATCTGGATAATTCATTTAATAAATGTTTAGATGAATAATTATTAATTTGAATAAAGTCAAATGCACAAGAGATGTTGGGAAACACCAGAATCTTCCGCCCTAAACGAATCTCATGATCAGATTGCGAAACAACCGAACAACAATTCAGAAAACAAAAATTAAAAAAGAAGATCAAGTTTAAAAAGAGAAAACAAAAAGCTAGCTTTGAGCCATAATCAAGAGGAAAATTAAGAAGCAATCCAATTTGCACTGAGAAAAAGAAAGATTAATACCGGGGAGGGTAAACAGAGAGGAGAGAAACTAAATTCAAAAGCTTTGCCACGGCTCACACGAGTTGCAATTGGAGTCACTTATTTGACATTGATTCAGAGATCAAGCTTAAAACGGGAACAACGAACTTGTCTTTTTTTTTATATTTTTTTATTAATTTATTTTATATTCTGTCTTTATTTGTTTCCCGAACGTGTTGGAAAGTCGTCGTTTCAGGTTGTTTTTTCAGACCCAACTACCACCACCCAATAATATCTCATTTAAATTAAAAGTCTTTGTTGACTTTAATAATAATGGATAATGTATAAAGAACCCCGGATATACAATAATATGTATCCTTCCTAAGACTAATTCTACCGTTGTAAATTAAATTATTCTTTCTTATGTATTTCTAATTATACTAGATGATAATTGATAGCTAATTGTTAACATATATATGCCTCAAGCATAACAACCCAAAGACTTCATTTATATAGCCTTTCTAATCGGTATTTAAAACCTAGGAATCAATATGATTCAGTTGCAAAAGTAATTGCACCGCCTACAGAGACAAAATAATTATATACTTGAAGCAGTCATTGAAGAAAGAGTAAATCGATAAGTAGATGCAATTTTGGAACCAAACTATGCACATTACTCTCACCCAATCTTAGAGTGCTATGTCAGATGATATTGTAGTCAAAATTTAGAAGAGCAGATAGTCCATTTGGCATCTTTATGTTGCTTAGGCAATGATTCTTTCACGGGCTTTCTTTCTCCAATATTTGTAGGGCCAGAAGAAGGTTTTGTCGTTTGAATATTTAAAATTTCAATTTCTGTCGCCAAAACATTTCAGAAACATTATTATTGTGACACCACAAAGAAACTTTACCTTTACTCTGCACTCCAATCTTCATATGCTCGTCCTGTATTTACGCGTTTGGTTGCAGCTTCCCTGTACTTTCATCCATTCGGCATACATCAAAATCAATATTAAATTATCAATTAGGATAACTTCTCACTACCTTCCTTCGCTTTTCAATTAATAATAAGGTCAAGTTGCTCCGCAAAATAATTAATTAAATACCATGACTGAGGACAACTTAGGGGATTCTTTACTTTTGTTATTGATACTAGAGTAACCGACACGTTTCGTATCTCTAATAGTTATATACATACACAATATTGAAAAATTATGTATAGTAATGTATAATTATTCAAAGAAGATATAATTTTTTTTTACATATAGAGAAGTGTATATTTTTGGTTTTCTAGGAGTTTAGCAAATTTAATTAAAAGGGCTGCTATTGAAGTTGCTTTACCATGAAAAATCCTCCAAACCACTCAACCTTTTAGAAAAGATTAAGCTGTTTACTCTTTCTCCTTCATATTCTATTTTATTTTGATGCACATATAGAAGGAATTGGGAGGAGAAAAAGAGGGGAATAGATTGAAGACTTTGCGAAAAATAAGGAGCTAGTAAGGAGTCCAAGAATCAGTTGAGAACGAGGTTCTAGGATCTCTCTTTCTTTCTTCTACACCTTCTCCATATATTTTGGATTAGCTCTCACCACCATGAGTGACTAACTTTTCTTTTTGTTGGTGTTGAACAATCCATCAAATTTTCATGTACTCCTTTTGATTTATATATATGATAATCTATTATTTAGTGTTAGTGATTTTGATTCTGTTCTTAATGTTAAGTTGACTTTGTTACTCATCTTTGATATCTTTGATAAATAGAAGAATTATTTATTGAGTTAGACTCCTTAGAAACTCTAAATGTAAAGACTTGATTTAGAATGATTATAATGAACTCAATAATATTGGATGATAGAAATCAAATATAGATAATCTTAGGAGAACATAAGGGTGAGATTAGTGAGACTCAATCCCATCAGCTTTGCATGTTGTTCTCTTTCAGTTTTACTACTACTTTGTTGATAACTTTTTATAATTCCAACATTGAAATATGAACATCATGTTTATAATATCTATGAATCTTTCTATTTCAAGCTTTTATTAGGATATCATAAATTATAAGTATTTACCTAAGTTTCAACAACCTGTATTTAATTCTTACTCTATAGTTACTTGGTGTGCTTGCCTTAAAACCTCATCAATTACACCAAGCTTCCAAGAGTTGGTATAAAAAATTCACTAGCGCATTGATTATAAGATTTGTTTCAGGAAGTTTAGGCCTGATCATTTACTCTTCATTTTTAATGAGAAAGGGACATTCCTCACTGCATTAATCTGTGTAGCTGATGTTATATTATTCAGGAATGATCATAAGTTCATGAACAAGAAAAGTTGTATATCGATAAGGAGTTTAGTATCAAGGACTTGGGACCATTAAAATGCTTTCTAGGCATAGAAGTGGCAAGATCATCACAAGGAATAGTTATGAATTAGGGAAAATATACTTTAGACATCCTTAAGGAGACTAGGATGGAAAATTGTAGACCAAGAAAATTTTCAATGGAGTAGAATTGTAACTTGCGAGTAAGGGAAGAAGATCTAGACGTGGATGCAACAAGATATCAAAGGTTAACGTTGTTGTATTTGACCATAACAAGACCAGAGATTACATATGCAGACATCACTCTATGCCAATTTATGACAAAGTCCAAGCAAGTGCACATGAATGTTGTGGATAGAGTACTTAGATACTTGAAAATGACACCAGGACAAGAGATATTGCAAGTAATGACAATTCGAAATTAGAGACATACTATGACACAAATTAGGGTGGTTGTCCATTCACTAGGAGATCTGTACATGGTACTTAATCAAATTTGGTGGTTCACCTATATCTTGGAGAACAAATAGGCAACATGTGGTGGCAAAGTCCTCAATAGAAGCTAAATATAGAGTGATGGCAACAACATACAGTATCAGAACTAATATCAATTCTTACAACTTTCTTTTCAGAAGCCTCACTCATGATCCTGCTGTATCTGCAATATCTTCACAACATAACAAGTACTTATCAAGTAAGATTGCTATGAAAAGGAAGAACAATAATCTGTTACCTTTTATTTTTAAGAAAAAAGAAAATATTACTCATCAGTCATATTTCCTCCTAATGTCCCCAGACAGTTCTATTTATTTTCCTTTTGAACTACGATCCAAATTTCATAAAGGTACACGTTTGTTCAAAAGTTAAGGCTGGTAAAACAAAGACAATAAAGTGTAAGAGTGTGGACTACACTATTTTTCTCAAATCTGAATCTTAAGTGAGGTCTTAGGTTCAAATTTCATTGCCGCCAATTGTATACAAAAAATACAATATTCCTTCTTTACTGGCTTATCTACACTTTAGCCAATGTGATAGCGAGCTTTGAGGGCAATCCTTAACCCTATGACAGGGTTGCTTGCTGCCTTGTGACTCAGTAACTATGCCTGTGCTTCTTTTCTTCACCCTCTCTTTTCTTAACAAATTTCATCTGATTATTACTGTGATTAACTCTTCTCTTTTTTCATGTTGGCTTTGTTTTGTAGGAAACTAATGTAAAACTCATGAGAGAAGTGAAGATGCGTGAAGCAATGCTAGATAGGGAAGCTTCAGTCCGAAGAGCAAGGCAGGAAACATCTATTGCTGAGGGTATATCATGGGGCATGGGTGAGGATGCTATTGAAGAAGATGAGGTTTGTAGAAGCTTGTAATTATTATTTACATATGGAGTATATGATATGTAAGATTCCTCCATTTAACTACCTACATCTTCTGATTCATTAATTTGATGGATTCAAATTTCAGGATGATGCTGAAGAAGTGACATGGCAGTCATTCAAAGGACAACTTACAGAAAAACAGGAAAAAACCCGTGAGAAAATATTAAAAAGGATGGAAAGGGTGGGTCATTCTTGATAATTTGGTTTCCTATGCTATGCCTTTCATTTTGAATTATGATCCACATACAGCTGATAGATATTAAACACTGTTTTATTGTCTTTGATTTATATGCAAAAAATATAACATATGTGATACATTTAATTAAATATTTAATATATATACCAGTTCAACCACTGATTGGCTAGTTCAATCAATAACTCATTAATACAGTACCCTACCCAAATTGAGTCAATGAAAGATATGGTTTTGACAACAGTTTAAAAGACATAAAAGGCTGTTGAGTTATCACGTCAGAGATGAGAGTTAGCTAAGGCATTGATCCACATGAGAAATTCACCAACTGATTGATCTCCTTTTATGGTGTTGCGTATTTCATGAGCAGCTGCCAAGCTTGAGCTTTCATCTTTTCATGAAAGTGATTATGAATCTTTTCCCAGAGTTACCATGAATATCTGGAACCAATGTTGCTAGTAGGAACAGAAAGAAAGGGACGATTGTAGCCATGCAAGGGACAGCTGGTCCTGCAACTTCCAGACAGTGTATGCAGGATTGTTGATTTCTGCCTTGTAATCAGATTCAGAGAAGAACCACAAAGGAATTTGAGGTGAAGCTACAAATTGATGTAGCCGATGACCTTGAAGAACTGGTTCAATTTGTAGGAGTCAGACAAGAAAATTGTTGTCATTTAGTTTATTCGTCATCTGGTTGGACAGTGCTGGAATAGTGCAATTTAAGACATTGCAGATTTGAATTGAAGGAGGTCCTGGTGGTGGATTTGGATCCATAACCATAAGAGAGGCTCTAGAAGCTCATGATTCCACGTAGAACTTTAAAAAGAGAATGAGATGTTACTTCTCTGAAAATTTGATACAAATGAATCAAGTCTCCGTTTAGAGAGTCTGATATTTTTCCATGTAGCCTTAGACTTCTCTAGGAAGCTAACTATATTACTAAGAGGCTCTAACTAACGTACAGCTGTCACTACAGACTCCAACACCTACTAATCATCATAGTATACTTGTAAAGCTTATCGTATATTTGTGCAGATTGCTAACATGAAGAAAGAGATAAATGCCATACGAGTTAAAGACGCATCTCAGGGTGGATTAACTCAAGGTCAACAAACCCAGATTGCTAGGAATGAGCAGAGAATGGCTCAGGTAATGTTGAAGAAAATAAGTTAGACAAGAATCTTGTATATTGCTATTCATATTGGGTCATTTTGTTTAAACTTAAACAAAAGTAATCATAAAAAGAATTGTTTTTAAAAAGCATTTTTTCTTCTTTAAAAAGCAGAAAACTGCTTATTTTTAATATAAACACGTTAGACAAAATGACAAATACATAAAAAGGATAAAGCTGCTTATTTTATTAAAAAAAAACTTTTTTAAAAAAAGTTTAAACAGACCCATTCTGTGATTGTCAGAGGTCTTGGAATTAGATTTTTTTCTCATCAAGCCATTTTGTTGATAATTGGGTAAATATTGATCACACAAACTGATAAGCTGACTTTTTTTTCTTCGGGATAGTTATCGGAAGAACTAGAAAACTTGGAAGAGACACTGAATGATAGTATTCGAGAGAGTATTGGTGCACGCACAGGAAAGATGTCTCATGGGAAGAAGAAAGGTGCAGTTGAAGATGAAGAAGAATATTTAAGGTATAATATCACTGGCAGAAGAAAGTTTTGTGAAGCTGAAATTTATTGATAAGATGTTTTTATGTTTGAATATCAATTGACAATAACTGCAGTTTTTAACAGCTAATAGCTGTTTAATGTTTTACTTGTTTGTATATATTTCTTGGAATTTTTTTATATATTATTTTTGTGTTTTTTGTGGAGTAAAACAAGTGCAATGTTTAATGTGCTTGGTTGGCTCTTTTATACTGCAAGTCTACAACATTTGTAGTGATGTGCCAAAACTAAAATGATATTGATAATTACCTTGCATTGTTCAGTGATGATGATGATGAATTTTATGACCGTACAAAGAGAAAGACTGCACATCAGAAACCTGGTGACAACCAATCAGTTGAGACTGCAGATAGTCTTCTTGATAAGAGAGATGTCATCACCAAGGAAATGAATGAGAAGAAAGAGTTGCTTATGATTGAAAAGAACAAAATTTTGTCAGAGGGGGCCACACAAGATGAAGTTGATGACTCACTTGATGCATACATGTCTGGGCTTTCATCTCAACTAGGTGAGAGTTCCCTTAACTAAATATGTGCCACAATTTCATTTATAACTAAACATGTGTTAAGCTTCGAGCTTTTTTAGTTTATTTTGAAGTATAATGTCTTTGATAGAAACAATTTCATTTATCCACATTTTATCTACCATTATATGCAACAATGTGTCATAAGCTGCAGATAGAGATTCGTCTTGTGCTTATCCATTCTGATTCTTTTCTGTCAGTGTTGGATAAAAGTGCGCAACTTGAAAAGGAATTGTCTACTCTTCAGTCTGAGCTGGATAGGATATGCTACCTGTTGAAGATTGCTGACCCGACAGGAGAAGCTGCCAGGAAAAGGGAGTTGAAAGTACAAGAACCGAAACCAATAAACTCTGAAGAAGTTACCTCTACCATCAAGAAGAAACCACCTGCAGAAGCACAGAAAAGCAGGGAGCCTTGCGCAAAGGTGGATAACATAGAAGCACAGAAAAGCAGCGAGCCTTGTGCAAAGGCAGATAACAAGAAACCACCTGTGGAAACCCAGAAAATCAGCAAGACTTCTGTCGAGGAAGATGGCTCTGTAGAAGGAGAAAAAGCTGCAACTTTGGGTGTTGACAAGTTGGAACCTTGCTCTGACAGATTGGAGGCTGAAAATGTTGTATTTGCTGTACCAAAGCCCCAATGGCTCGGAGCTGTAGAGGATAGGGTAACAGATGATACCCAACAGTTGATGCCCTCTCTGCATCAGCATGAGATGGAGGAGTCCAATCTGTTTGTTGACTATAAGGACAGGAGCAAAATGTTGGGCAGTGGTGATAATTCAAAGACTTCAGTGGAATCTAGAATTGAGTCTGCTGCTCCTGGTCTAATTTTAAGGAAACGGAAGCAAGTTGAGACAACTGCAACAAATAGTAATGATGACTCTCAACAATTGACATCTTCCACTTCAGGAGAAAAAATGGCTGAGGATGCCGTTGCACTATTATTAAAGCACAATAGGGGACTGTATGCTGATGATGATGAGGAAGGATATGAAGGTCAAGAGAGGAGGAGGCCTAAAAGAGTGCTTGGGCCTGAGAAACCGTCCTTTTTGAATAATGAGATGGATTATGACTCATGGGTTCCTCCTGAAGGTAAGCACATTTAGGTTCAATATTCTGACCAAGTCTTGGATTGTCACATTTTTTTGCATGACCGTACATCCCTTTGCTTTGTGCAGGACAATCAGGTGATGGACGCACATCCTTGAATGATAGATACGGCTACTAAGTTTGGCTGATGTGCACAGCACTGTTCATTACAAGAAAGAGGTTTAGGCTGTACGTTCACCTAAATATTGATGAGGGATCAGGCTTACCCTGCTCGGCATTAATGAATTTGAACGTAGAGCTGGTTGTATGACTTTCAGTGAGTTGGATCCTTTGTTAAATAGAAGTAAAAGGATGATAAAGTTTATTGGTGAAAGGACTTATGTATAACAGACAAGGAGGGGTGAAAGCACCATGTGAAATATGCGACTGACAGGCAATGACTGATACCCTAATCAACTGCTTGCTGCATGTACAGCCGAGTAGCGAGTACTTCTGTTTGTGAGAAGTTGGAAATGAGGCAGGCCACGCCATTCCTAACAAAGACCAATGTACATCATGTATGCATGCTTGCTACTGTCCTTTGGAAAGTAAGGACTGCCTCGATGCCATTATAAATGTATTCCTTAAAATATGTCGGTGCTTTTGAGGAGTGATTTGCATGCACCCTACAAAATCAATTATTTTCCTTTTCTTGTCCTCTCTAAACATGGTAAATATGACGAATGATATGGAGAAGAAATACTACTGGTTATAAGCATGAGAACATTAAGTGGTAACAGACTTTACAGATAATATTCTTTCGTTTATTTTATGTAAAGTTTTGAGTGATGAAAGATTTTAAGAAAGGAGTGTAATAGAAAGTAGAAAGAGAAAATAAGTAATTTTTTGACTTTGGATTGAGATAGAAAAGGAGAAAAATTTGCTTATCTAAGACATTTATTCCTATTAATGTTTTTTACACAACTTAATCAGAAGAATAAATTTATCATTTCCGCGTGGTTTAACAATTTTTTCATAAATTTCTTAATTTTGAAGGAGAATATTTTTTGGCATGGAGTAATTATCTCTTCTCCCAAATTTATGATATTTTCCCGTTTAGTTTCTTCTCTAATAGCTTCTTAATTTACCAATAGCTTCCTATCATTCTATGCTTAAATCTAGTGACAATGCTGAACCATATGACAAATCATTTTCAGAAACAAGGGACAATACTACACCAACTGGATTTTCAGTTCTGGTGCTACAATAGAGCAAAGCACAATTCATCGGTTACGCATATTTCTATTTTTAATTACATGGAACTATTTATGGAAGGGCACAATAAAATAAAGTTAAATTACTCGATCTCTAAACTAATTGAAAATTTTAATATAGATCCCTAAATTAACTTCAATTGGGTCTTTAATCATGTAATTTTTTTTAATTGCATTCCTAAAATTTTTTAAGTTGGCACAAGTTGTCATTTCCATAACAGTTTCACGCTGTCAGAAACTAACACAGTAACACCATCAACCTATTTTTTTAGTTTAAGAACCCAATTAAAAAATAATAATTTGAGAACTCACTTAAAAGTCCCGAAAGTAGGTAGTTTAACCTTAAAATCAAAAAACTTCGAGCTGTATCGTGATTGATTAGTAGTATACGGGACAAAATTTAACACGCATTCGTGAGCCATTTCATCGTTATAGTAAGCAATGCCTTCGCACTCTAAAATTTTAGTTATCGTCTCCGATGCAGGACTATGCATCACATCACCAGAGTAATCAATGAACAGACGCAACAAAAAAATCTCGGGGGAATGTATCGGCTCGGGGAAAATGAAATGTATCGTTTATCATACTTTGTCAACATTAACCATCTTGTGCTTTTAACCCATATGCCACTGATTGCAGTCACTGAAATTGTATAAGTTAATACATGTACACTATAAATCATGTAGGTACATTATTTCAAACAAGCGTTTCTTCATATTTACAAAAGAAAAACTTGTACAATGTGAATGAACAGTGTAGAATTCTCTGGATTTTAAGATGGTTTGTAGCTATCCATACCATAATTTGCAGGGTGACTTGGGAGCTGAACTATGTCACAGATTTGCCACTCATTGTTAATGATTCTCCAGACCCTTAAAATTAATAAATGAAATTCATTTTGCATACTTCAGTGTCCGAAATGCAAATTTTAACCCTTTGGCTTTCCCAAGCCTCCTGAATGCTGCACCAGCTTCAAAAGCTTTCTGTCTCGTATAATATGTGTACACCCTCAAAATCTTTATTCATCCGTTCATCAGCAACCAAGTTGGGTAACAGGTGAATTCCCTATCACACCACAAAGGTCCTCCTCAAGGCTCTGGATGTCTATGAAGGTATATACAGCCATTGGAATAGCCTCTATAATGAGTACTTTCAGAAGAGGTCCTTGTCATGCTCTCAGACACATAATACGAGATGTTGTCAGTAAGCCCGAAAAGACAGATTCCAAGCCTTACAAAAAGGCAGCAGATGGGGATCAGTTGAAGAAATATGGTGACTCTAAAACATCCCTCAAGTCAAAGTCTCCCCGTTCAGGCAAGGGTGGAAATGATAATGATGGGAAAGACCTCTGAAAGCTCTCCAGTAACTGTTGCAAAATAAACAGATGAGAAATCCAGCAATAATGTATATATCAAAACAACATAAGATCAGAAAATTTATGATCGAAATCTATTTAAAAATCAAGATGACACTCTGATTCCTTTTCTTTTGCAAGCTTGACAAAAAAATTCCCGAGATTGCATCTTGTCAATTAACACAGTAACATGGTTTTCCCATCTTTGTAACCAATGAAGTATTATTCAAATCCCAGAAAACAAAGCACACTCCCCAAAGAAATATCTGTTATTCCTTTACAGACTTGGGGAGATTTACAGTAATGAAATCAGTTTCACCACAAATATAACTAATACCTAGGAACAATAGCATTGGATATAATTTATAAATAATGAGCATTTAAACCATACATTTTCTAGTACTGGGGTCTCGTAGAGTTCTACAAACTTCTCTCTCAGTATTCTGTTCATTTTATCCACATCGCATGCATGCGTCCAATATGAATCATGAACCCCTACAAGCACGTAGAATTATTCATCATCAGTATCATAATTTTATAATGATTAAAAATGAATTGAACCACAAGCTTTCACATGGTTGGGACATTTGCTTGCAAATTCCCAATGTAGGGGTTTAATACCCCTACTATGATGGAACATCCCATTCCCTCCCTCCTTCACCCCCAGCACCACTTTAGCAGTGGGGCCAGCCATAGTAGAATATATGAATACCAGCAAAAGAGGGAACAACAGAAAGAGCCTATCAAGGAAATACCAGCAAAATTCAAGCCTTCTCTTTTGCAGGCAACTGCAGTCATCATCATATGAGAACCATCAAGTGAATGAACAAAATTTGGCGGAAATGCTGTTCTCTGCCTCGTGACCATGACCTAGAATATATGAATAAATCAGGAAAATATAATTTAAAATACCAAGTCCATAAATTCATCTTTAAGGTTAAGATGGAAATTGTTATTTGTGTTGGGGGGATCTAATGTTACTCAAAATATATCCCATTCTTGTACCTATAGAATGGTATTGAAGTTACTTACCTTATCTGTTTCTCGTTGCAATGTCAACATTTGAAGTGAAGTTTTGATCTACAACCATATAACAATAATAATAGATTATTAATCAATAGAAAGCCTTCAAATCCTAGGAACTTGAATTGAAGTATTAAGGACATAATTTCAAGAAAATCCTATTGCACTCACGATATGCTTTCCCAGTTTATGGTAAGGTTGCACCACAGGAAGTCCAAGAGGAGTGATCCAGCGCACTGGTTGATTTTCAGATGCAATTATCTGTTCCAAATGTCTTGGTCATTATTATATCATAAAATAAGTACATAATTCCAAACACACATCATTTTATTCTTCCTCTCCATGTCCAGGTATAAGAATATGTAAAGTGCACATGTCAGTACAAGGAGTAATGCAACATACTTTTGCACAGTCACCAAGCCAGTGCATGATACCTCGTGCACCTTGAAACATCTCCTCTAAGGCAGTTAAGGTGACCTGAGAAGTGAGAAGGGAGAGGTGAATAAAGATGAAACCAAACACCACATACTTACCTATCCAACAGGGACTAGGTATTTAAAACAGTCATTTAAAACCCTCAAACCTTTGCAGCATAACAAGAAGCACCAAAGAGCTCAGTATCATCTGAAATGGCATTCCTTTCTTTTAATCTCCTCTTAATCTGCTCCCGTGCACCAATATAAGTGACACCATACACTGATGTCATCACTGTCTGTTTAACCAATTTTCTATCCACCTAAACAAGTTCAAGATCAGCCAAAAATCAGTGGAGATGAAGAGAGAAAAGAGAAAAGCACATCAACTAGAATCAGATATGCCATAAATTATTTTCATTCACGTTTCTGATTCCAGGAAAACTATATTTACACTTTCCAACAACTATAAGTAATCTATCTCCTTGCATAAATATGAATTTTATCATATTAAAAGAACACTAGAACAGACAATAACCTGATTAACTAGAGTCCTTGCATGAAGAGCATCTGGAAAAATTGCAGGATCTTTCTGAGCATCCCTTTGCATCATGTTTGATACTCTGCATAAAAAAGATTTTTCTATTAGTGAGCTGTTTATTTTGAGAACATCCCTCTCACAAGGGAAGATTCAGGTCCAAATAAAAAAGAGGGTTATGAAACTAAATGAAAAGAAGAGCTTTCCACATATCAGAATAAATACAAATAAATAGAAGATCCCACTGTGGGACGGGGCGGGTCGGGCACGGGTTTCATGATACCCGTCCCCGTCTCCGCGAGTTAAACCCATCCCCGTCCCCGTCCCCATACCCGTCAGGTATAGATTTTCATTCTCATCCCCACCCCCGTCGGGTATCGGGTATACCCGTACCCGTACCCGTACCTGTCAAATTTTTTATTTTTTTGTAAAAAAAATATTATTTTTAAATTATTTTTTTTATTATATTATAATTATAATTAGGTTATTTCTTTATCTTATATTATAATAAATAATCACATAAAAAATATTAACATTTTTTAATATAATTAAATTGAAAGTGAGTATTAAATTAAAAATGAGAACGGGGACGAGGACGGGTAGGGGGGGGTAAGTACATACCCGTACCCGTACCCGATTTAATATATCGGGTTTTACCCGTACACGTACCCGTACCCGGTCAAACCGTGTATTTCCCGTCAAAGTCGGGACGGGTTCGGGTATTACCCGCGGGTACGGGTATGTTTGTCATCCCTATTCAGAATAAATACAAATAAATAGCAGATCAGATAACATACAAGGAAGAACTACAACTTTTTTTATGAAAGAAATTTATTAGAAAGAAATACTTAATATCATGGAATGTGGATTGGATATTAAAGGAAGACCAAAAGTGCAGTTTAGTCAAATACATAAGAGCACAATAAAATATTCTCCATAGCAAAGACAAAACAAAGTGGTAAAACACTGCTTCCTTACGCTCTTCAACCAAATGCATCCACCTGAATCATAGAAAAATCCTTGGAGAAATATTTGGCGGGTCATGCTCATCGAGACTTCCCCACACCCCTCCTAAATTTCTAATTGAGAGGAATACAGTAGGAATTTGAGAGAAAATATATATATACAAATTCATAGTAGGTCCAATCTTGATGAAAAAAACATTATTGTGTTTAACTTCTATTTGCCTTCTGGGCATTATATATATTTTTCCTGCTATGTATAAAATATACTTTGTTTATCCCCCCAAAAAAGGAAACCTATAAGCAACAATACACACAAACTCACCTAGCTGCTATTCCTGAGTAAACATCTGCTGGCTTCTCTCCAGCAACTAGATTGACAGCAACAGCCCCTAACTGAAAAAAGGAAATAAATATAAATTACTGGACAGGCACTACCAATAGGCAATACAGTTATGTTCAACGAAAAATATAATGAAGGCATGCTAATTGCGAAGTGATATGGACAACATAAGCATATGTTCCACCCAGTGCCACTTTTGACAAGACCAGTTTGGACAAAGCCCAAAGAGACAACAAACTTGACAGTTAAAATCAACCAAATAGAAGACATGTAAAGAGGTGTGATATTAAGCTACTCAAGCCAAAATCATTTACAACTATCAAAATCTTCTGATTCTGAGCTACATTCAAAACTGGTATTCGTTCTCTAACTTGAATTTGAATATCCAGGACCAAAGAACATGAGCAAAAAAGTGATGAAGGCCTTTACCTTGTCTCTCCCCAAGGCAGCATAATGTTGTAAACCATTGCAGGAGCCATCCTAAGATAGAAAATCATGGTAGTATAAATAGTGATTAGTTAAGAAACATGATTCATTCTATATGGAAATGATGAAAATGATAAACCTGACAATGACAATTATGTGCATTACATGGTAAATTGATTATTGATATTAAACATTAAGTAATAAGCGGGAATAGATTAAGCAGATTTTTTTACACAGTAGTTAAATGCACAAGCCAAACGAAGGAAAATGCTTTAGGACTACCAAAAGTCCTAAACATTTCTTAAAAATTCTTATAACCATATGAGAAAGACAAGGAGAGCCTAGTGCATGAGGCTCCCAAAAATGTGGAAATCAGGAGGGGCAGATTCATGCAGTGAACCATGAGCAAAGAGGTTATTTCGGTGGCTAGAACCTGTCGCCACCATCACCATGTCACAAGGCATCAACTAACCATTGAACCAACATTCATCCTCATAAACAGGAGAAAGTTAAAATCACTTGTAAGTTGGGAATATTAGAGTCTTGTTGGATTTACAAAGAGGTTTATCAAGTTTCTCCGGGATTATATTCTAGCTGCCAATGAAATTGAAATTGTAGGGGGTTCAAATCTAGGGACTTTTGAGATGAGGGTATATCTATTGTTAGGAAATGATAACCAAAATTACTACCCACTTCTTAACAAAAAGTCACGCACTCCTAGTAATACAGTACTCCCCTATATCATCCATACATTTTTATCACTGTTGTCCAGAGGTAAGATGAACAAAAGCTAAGTGTGTATACAATGAAATTATATACAGATATATTAGGTTATTTAAAAGCCAAAGTAGCCTGATTAACCTGAAAATGAAACATGTTTAAATTGGGAGGTTTGGATTTTGCATACAAAATGGATTTAATGTGCACCCCTTTTGTCCAAGAAAAGTTTGCTCTTAATTTTTGTTTGAGTTAGGTTTTTATCATTCTTAGCTCAATGGTGAGTAACAAGCAAGGAACCCTAATATATCAAGGTTCTTCTATAGCAGTTGACAAGAAATATGATGTTCATTACATACAAAAGGAGATAATTGATGATAATCTATTTTTATAAATTTAGAATTGGTTCTCTTTCACTACTTCACCTTTTTAAGATGAAAATTCTAACTCAACATCTCAACCCAACTCTTCATTAGTTATAAAGAATAGGTTCAGATTGGGATTATGTTATGTACACTGTTTAAGCAGAAGTATTTGCCACTCCTAGTGTCCACCTGATTTATTAGGTATGGCAGTGTCATAACCTCTACACCGTATCCAAGCAAAATTTTGGACACCCCTAGCATGTTTTGATATGCTAAAGTTCATTCAAACCATGCAAATACCTGATGTACTGGAATATGTGAGATGAATGTTTCTGGTGAAGAGCTTCTTAAAGCTTCAGTTAGAGTTATGCATGCAGCTAAGCATTGCAATGGATCTTCTGCTTTCAACCACCACCGCCTCCCTTCAAGAGGTTTGTCTGCAGAATCAAATATATCTCCAAAATGATTTTCAGTGAACGCTAAACGGCCCTCAAGGGATAGTTTATCAACACCACCAGCATATAGATTTGCTAAGTGTATCTTCAGCCACTGTAGACCAGACTTTCCAAGAGGGCGTCCATTTGCAAATTCCAATATACCACGGCATAAATCTGAACCAAGGTGATTTAAGTGTGGGTGCATGGGATATGCACGCCCTCGGAAATCAAGGTTGTGTGGGTAGTAAAATCCCTCTTCATCCTTCATTTTTCGAGCTACCTGTATTCATTTTGGGTGTGTCACCAGACAGAATATGGATTACAAACTAATATACATAATGTTTAAAGAAGCTTACAGCAAGTTTAAGTTCTATGTCACAACGTTGTGAATATCTCTCTCTGTTCTCTTTCTGCGCAGATTTGACTTTCCACTTCCATTTCTTTATCTCTGCTTCATTATCAGTGTCCGGCTCGTCAGGTAAAGGAACCTGCAATAAAAAGTTAAACACCATTTCAAACCATAGTCAACATAAGTCTCTTAAAGCATAACTTCAAAATAAAAAATTCATAATCCATAGACCTTTTAAGATTTATGCATAGAACTGATGAAACAAGTTAATGAGCTACAAGTTGAAGTGTTGATTGATAATAGTTAAAACAGAATAAACAAAAAGCAACCATTTAATTGTACTTACATCATCACGGTCCACCAAATCAGCAAGACGGCCCCCACTAGCCCATATCCTGTCTACAACACTCAGTACCTTCTTATTTATCCTCCATTTTGTATGCCCAAGAGTATCCAGAGCCTGATCAAATGAGTTTTATGTGTTAACGAAAAAATCCTTCCCTAATTCCTACTTCAACAAAAGCATAGTGAAAAGAATGCACACACACATTCATTCAAACACTACTCTTTGTTGAGTAACACTATATTTGCACTGTAGTATACCCAACATGCATAAAATCTATAACAAATTCAGACCTCAAATACTGGCTCTAATTGCTTCCTAGGGGCCCTCTTAACAGCTTCACGTTGTTGCCTGACACCATGAGTACGCATGACATAAGAGGGTAAAAACAAGTGTCCACCTTTGTCATAACTGTGAAAGTACAGCAAATGGAAAATGGAGAAGTCAGCACTTTAAGTCAGACATTCAGCTTAAAAAAGAAACTGTAATTTACTTATTGTAAACATTGATTCATGTGCTTGATGGTGCATAAGGAAAACCCTGATTCACATTTTGAAGCTAATTGTAATGGCAGCTGTTTGTAGGGTTAACAGTATAATTGAGTAGAATAAAAGTATTCCCGCTGTTTTCTATTATAAGCAAAAAAAAAAAAAAAAAACATTTCTTGTTCTTAAATATAAACAAATTTAACAACTTTTGCATCATTTAATGATATTTTTTCTAAAATATCCCTCTTTTAATGCATAATATTTCAGTTGCACTATTCCTTTTGGCATTTATAATAAGGACAATTTGGAAAGAATCTTATGAATAGTAAAATTTAAAACAAATAACCAACTTCGTTAAGATACATAAAATCATTTTTTTTGCTTATAATAGAGAATAGAGGGAGTACATTGCAAAAAGCATTAAGTATCCTCAATAGCAGGAAAAACAACAACAAAAATGACACCTGGAATTAAACAGGGTAATTCCACTGCCAATCAGAAATAATAAAACTCTGTAGCAAATATCAATTACGGCCCAAACATTACCTCAAAGAAGCTTGGAACAAAATCCTATCCCTTAGCAAAACTAGGGGCACGGAGATGTCTTAAAGATAAAACTCATTCCTCCACAACCAAAAATGCACCAAAGGATAGTATATTAAGGAGTATAATATGCTGATCATCTTCTTAACAATATTTTTTTTTTTACATTGGTTGCAGTTTGGGCCACTTTCTAGCCCCATTTCATGAAATTATCTTAAGAAAAGCTTTAAAATCATACCCAACCATAAAATTGAAATACAGAATGGCAGCAAGACAGCACATAAATGTGTAAGTTACCATACCCTGTCCAGTTGACTGGTGGAACCAACATAGGCATATAAGGAATGACCATATTTTTTGCCTGTTGAAAAATTGAAATTTAAAAAAGAAATAAATGATTTATACAAACCATGAACAAGAGCAGAGAAGGCTATAAACAAAATATACAAACAATATAAGATATTAAGATGCAATCTATTGAGAACTGATTGAACAAAATGTATATATGCTTTAGCTTTGATACCTAATAATATAAGCTAGTGAAAATTCACACCATTCTATCAGAGATATGGAGAGAGGTTCAATTGTTAATTGACAACCAACTCCAATATAGTATGTGATGTTTCTACCAAAGAAACTCAATTCATGTACTCCCAAAGACTTGATAATAAAATATGGATCCTAGGACATAACCACTAGCTACACTATGGGCTATGGCTGGAACAAAAGTATATTTAAAAAGAAGAAACAAGCTTTGATTTGCCAAGAGCATGACTATAATGCCAATTAATTCCAGGGTTAGCAGGTAAATTTTCTCCCCCCCACCTCCCCTCTCCCCCATTGAGCACCAAAAGCCATTTAGCAAAATACCTGAGACATTGAAAATAAGTTAAATAACCACTGAGCATAATACTGAAAAGATATCCTTCAATGGGGTATGCAAGGAACTATATTTGTGGGTTTGAAGGTAAGGATCTACCTTAGAAGCTTCAAGCATTATGCTCCAAACCTAATAAACCACATTGACAGCAAAATCTGCACATTTCCACAGCAGTTTCCTAGGATCAAGGGTTTAGAGTCTTCCTATGAATAGGAAGTAAGTCTATTTTATTAGGACTAATTTAAGGTAGTATCCTGGTAAAATCACTATACAAAGTCTTGCTTACAAGTAGGACTACACATGCTTAAAGTTCCCCTATATATAGATTGATTGTGAATTTAAAGTCTAGGAAATAAGCTAAACTGGCAAGATTTTCTTCTAGCTAGATTCTCAAATATATCCTTATTTCTCTCTTCTCCTAACTTCACCTGCATCCAATGATTGCAAGAATTGCCATTATTACAAGTCAGAGTTTTCCTAGCCCCAATTTAATTTAGGATCAAAATTATCAGAAAAGAAGTCCATAACACAAATCTCTTTCCAAACTAGAGGCTCATAATCTTGACAAAGAACAATACCAGAATTACTACTTGGAGATATCTCAAATGATGAACAATTCAATTTAAACTTCAACTAAAGAACAGGAGGTGATGGAGTATACTTACAGTTCTATCAAGTCCTTTAAGAATTAGAGGGTCACATTGAATAATACCAAATCTTCTGCTTGTTTTACTGTTTAAATAAAAATAATAATTAAAAAAAACAGAGCAACAATGTAAAATACTGCTGGAAATTTTAAAGGTGACTATGAGAGGCAGAGAATAAAGCTCACATGGAGTCCTTTGTCACTGTTTTAAATGAATGAACAAATGCAGGTCGGATATCAGGTGCAGCATCCAGTAATTGATCTGATGGTGGTTGTATATATGCTGTCTGCATCAGGAGCTCAATCAAACGGCTCCCTACCTGTGAAGTGGAGTGTATAGTCTCATTAAGAAGCAAATAAATAGCAAAAGAGAAATTTAGAGTCTGGGAGAGGCTACACAAACCTTTGTCTTTATGACTGTTCCCCATGGTTTTGTATCATCATGGCTCTTCATTATCCCCCTCACTGCGACTAGCTTTTGCTTCTTCATCAAATCAATGACTTTTTTTCGCAGCTTTTGTTCCTCTTTGATACCAGCAACAGACTCATCTGATTCCTTTTTATTCTTTTTATCAGCCTTTCTCTTCTGAGTTTTCTCCAAAAACTTGTGTATTCTAACCTGAACCATTAAACAATAAGCAATCATAAGGTTGCACCCATAGCAAGGGATTTGGTTAAAATACCTATAGTATAAATGTCATTCCCAAGAAAGTTCATTATTCAGACTAAACAGTAGAACATATACAGATTGAAATGAAGAAACATTGTGCTCTTTAGAAGGCCCAACCTTCAAGCCTTATACCTTAATTGTGTGTGTGAATATGTATAAGTATATGAGTCTATTTGAATAAACTTCTCCTAAGTACTTTTAGGAGAAGAAAAAATGAAATACGTTTTTCCACAAGTTAAAAATTAGCTTTTAGAGTAGAGAGACTAATATGAGAAAACTTCTACAAATTAAGTTACATAAGCTAATTTTAGCTTTTGGGAAAGCTTACTTCATTTTTTTATTTATATTTTTTGTCTCCTATAAATACTTATGAAGAAGTTTATCCAAACAGACTCCATATTAATGTGTATGTGATTTGGGGAGATATGGATCAGGTTGAGTAGCCAGTAGTGTACTCCTCATCTCCGGTTTCATACTCATAAAGATACCCAAGAAAGCATCAAACATATTCATCCTGTCTTATGATTAACACACCTGGCTACAAGTACAATCGGATAAAGCTGGCAGTTACCCATCAGGTACAGCAGATTTTTAAATAAGTACATGGTTCTTTTCTACTAAAAAAAGTATAAGAAGAAAGCCAAAATTATATTTCAAAATTAGATGAACTACGTAGGTCTTAGCCTCTTTAAGGTACTGCCCTCCCCTCTTTCCAACCTTTTGAACTTTCTAAACATTCCCATGGGTTTTATAAGGGTGTTTCGAGGTCTGACATACAAAAGAACTAGGTAGTTCCCACTTCTTTTGAACTAACACGAAAAGAATACAATCAAATTCATAGAACATAATTCAAAAAAGTATGAAATTATTTAAACTCTATGCACACTTAAGACTTATATGCTGCACAAAACAAGCATGAATAACACCATCAATGCAACATATAAAATGAACACCATAATTTAAACCATTTGTACACTTAAAGAGTTAAACAATACGAAACAAACAATTCAAAAGGAGCATGAAGAACACAATCCCACCTCATTTTCAATGGCGTCACCAATGCCACACGCAGCCTGCACAACCCTGGCAGTGCCAATGGTGGCACGCTCATTTCCAGTCATCAACAGCCCCATCAACTTATGCATGGCGATAACCGCCATCTTATCCGGCGGCAACTGAACAAAGTGCGCCGCATAGGCCGTCTTATTCTTCCCCGCAGCATACATCTCCTGTTCCTTGGCAATGGCATCCCTGAGAGGCTCAAACCAGCCAAGAAAGAGGGACTTCATGTAGGGCAAATTGGGAGCCAGCTTCTGCTCACACATGTCCATCAGAAGCTCCCTGTACTCCTTCGCCGCCTCTTCCCACACTTCAGTCTCAATCTTAACTTGCCTTCTCCTCAGCTCCTGGTACCTTGTCTGCCCCTCATTCTTCCACCTGTAACCAACCACCTCCTTCTTCATCTCCTGCAACAACAGCTCCTGAATTTCATCAACCGCGGCAACATCTTCCTCCACGTCGGTGGAAGAAACCGCCTCAGCAACGCCGCTGTACCCTCTAACGCCGAATTGGAACCGAAACTCGGCGTGGCCAATACAGTTTCTTTGGTTAGCCACGTCGGGGAAAACGTGGGTCTTGGGGGAGAAAACGGAGAGAGAGGGGAGTCTGGGAGGGTGGAGGGTTTGGCGAATGCAGCAGCAAGCATGTTTGGCGGCGTGGCGCCACATGTTCGAGGAAATGGCTGAGTGAGAAATGAGAGGGTTGTGAAGAGAATCGAGTCCCTTGGCGAAGGGATTGGGAGGGAACATCAAATTGAAGGGTTTCAGAGAGAAAAGGGTTCCAATTTCATATTGGTTTAGAACTCAAATGATGATTGCACTGCCACTGCCTCAAAAACCCTCCCTTCACTGGGGTTTTGCAATGCTTTCACTATACACCCCCAAAATAAATACTATTCTTATAAAACCTTTCTTCTTATTCTTATTATTATTATTATTATTACTACTACCTTCGAGTTTTAATATAAAAATTAGTAAATATTAGTTATTGTGATTGTGATCGAATTTGAATGTATCTAATAAAACTAGTTTATAAATTATATTAGAGTAGAAAAACTTGGAAACTTATAATTGATTGAATTAAAAATTTGATAAAATTAGTTAATAAATGTAAAGTAACATAACACGATGTGTTTAGTCATTTGAAATAAAAATATTTTTTAAATAAATTATAAATTAGTAAAATAAATTTTCTTATCGCATAAATTTATTTTGGTTAAATTAATTTAAAAATAGATAAAGTAGTTTATAAACTTTTTTATATCTTGTCACACATGTCTTTTATTGGCTAATGTTTAAGAATGATATAAATTTTTATGATTAAAATTACGGTTACGGTCTTTGAATATGATTTCATTGATTAATTTAGTTTTTCAAAACCCATGATAAAAAGACCAATTTAAAAAAAATGATACATATTTATAAATGCTAAGTTGTAACTTTATTTATTTTATTCATGAAATAAATTCTATAGATTATTTTCAATTAAATTTTTGTGCAAATTTAATTTAAGAGCATGGCTCTTGAGAGGATTATCTCTCCATTTTCCCCCTTTATTTTGACTAATAGTCTAATACTAAAGTTTTAGAAGAAGAATAAATAGAAAAGAAAAATGAAATAGAGATGATACTTATTTAATAGAGAGTATCATATATTTATTTAACTATAACTATAAAACTGGAAGAAACCGAGATAATAAGAAATGTATATAATCTTTTCTTCTTTTTTGACACCGTAATGGAAACTTATTTCACCAATTAAAATTTGATTTTGAAAATGTGAAGATGGGAATGTAATATTCTAATATTTGTTATGAATTTTTTAAAAAAAATATTTTCAAGTATTTATCTTTATAAATGTCTTTTTACTACATTTTTTTTTATCTTTTTATTCTCATATTAAAGATGTGGGAACGTAATAATTTTATAGAAATATTGAAAGTTATATTTCAACACATTTCTAATTTCTTTTTTTAATTATTTTAAATTTTAAAAATACTTCAAAGAATGTTAGAATATAATCAAACATATTTTCTAAAAATACTTAAAAATAACATTCCAATCAAAATATTTTTCTGAAATCTGATTTTTAATAATACAATATGATACCTGAAAACAAATTTCCTTAAGCTCAATTATCCTAACATGGCAATCACGTCATCTAACTAATTAATCTCATGCACACAAATATTACAGTGACAGTAAAATTACATTTAAACGTAGTTTCCTGAAAAAAGCTTTTAAGTATTTTATTTATCTGTCATATCTTATCATGTCTTACTCTCTCTCTCTCTCAATTTATATAAGTAAATAATAATAATTTTTTATTTAAATATAAGTAAAACTCTATTTAATATTTTTAATCCAAAAATATTTCCAAAATAATAAATACGAATATTATCTACAATAAATATCATTAAGATATTTTAATATATAATATATATTTTATACTATAAATTAAAATTGTAAAAATAAATACTTTTAACTATTTTTTAATACAAAAACCACATAAATATACCACATGCACAAAGATAAGTACACCTCAAATCCACACATCTAGAATCCAACCCAAATCGATATAAACAACATATACATACATAAATTTATATATACACATATATATATATATATATACATAAAGTATATCTACCAAATAGCTCGATATTTCCATGGCGTTACAAGATGTGCTCATTAAATGATTCCTATGCATGTATTAGTCCTAACATGTTCTAGAGTCAATTTTGTGAACCTCAATCGCTAATTGTTTCATAGCAATCTTAGGTCAGCAATTCTTTGTGTCTTGAGTGTTTATTTTGAAAAAACAAAACAGAGTAAGAAGTGTAAGAAAAACGAAAATCAAAAGTGTACAAAACGAAGAAGAAACTAGTAGTAAAACTAGTGACTAGTGACATTGAATTTTGACTTGTACACTTACACTTCTTATTTCTTTTCTCCACGACTTGGAAACCTTTTATAACATTGTTTGGTCTCTGTTTTTAAGTGTTCATATTCAGTATAAAAATAAATAAATAAAAGAGCCAAGAAGGCAACAAAAGAAAAAGAAAACAAAAGAACAAAAGCTAGAAAAACAAAGTGAGAAAATAATTTATATTCTACATCAAATTTTAACAATCCGTTTATTTAAGGAGTCTACCCAGAATTAATTTATTAAATAATTTATATTCTACGTCAACTTTCAACAATCCAACCGTTAAATTTAAAGTTTTTAATATATAGATTAAGTTTGCAAATTTTTAAAAATTCTAAAAATTATTTGATGCTTCTTTTCATTAATTCAAATGACAGATAATCATAAAACCATTTTACATGTTGATTTGAGTTAATAAAACAAAATATCAAATGATTTATAAATTTTTTTAAAAATTTGCAAGCTTGATCTATGCATTAAAAACTTTAAATTCATTAATTGAATCATTAAAATTTGATATAGAACATGAGTTATTGAACGGAGTAAATCTAGATAAACTTACTCATATAATATACGGATCCCTCCTTATTATATATATATATATATATATATTCAGAGAGAATATCACATGCACTGAGTACGTTAATTAAATAGTACATTAGTATCAACCATTCAACCTAGCTATTGGAATTGGTATCTCACAACACTCTTCACTTTTTCCTTCTTTTTTTTTTTTTACAAAACATTTTTCACTTATAAATATTGGAGTTCCCTTTTAGTGTAGATATTTTTTTCCTAATATATATTATTTATTTATCAAAATATCATATAATTCGAGTATTTGAAATTTATTGAAGAGTTATAAATATTTCCTTTTGAAATTTAAAAATAATGCTTTACATAATAGAAAAATGTCAGTATTAAATATTTAAATTTAAATTTATAATATTTAACTATGAAAACTAGTGTAAGAATGAAGGGCTCTATTAGGATTTTGGAAGAAGAAGTAGAAGACGTCGTTCAACAATGAACCAAGAAAGTCAAAACGAAAAATGGAAAGACGATAGTGGACTATACAATGGTTGAGCAATCAGTTTCCTCTCCACCTAGGGAAGGGCCGAAATGCTCCTATGCTGAAAGTGTTCTGGTTGCAGATGGGGAGAGGTTTGTTACAGACTACAAAACCCTGTTGAAGAAGATGGAGGTTTTCGAAGAGGTGCTTGCAGAAGAGGAAAATCACCCAAAGGAGGAAGATCCTAATCATGATCTGTGTCCGTCTATCAATGTTTCTCAAGAGGAATTTGAAGAATGGTGTTCCCCTTGGAAGAACATGCTGATTATTCATGTCCTAGGTAAACAAATATCGTTCAAATCCTTAGAGAATAAATTCAACCGCGACTGGATTAAAACGGGATCGATGCGTATGATTGATATGCCAAACGACTACTTCCTGGTTCAATTTTCTTCGAAAGAGGACTATAGACATGCCTTGTATGAAGGTCCTTGGATGATCGCTGATCATTATATTTTGGTTCAACGGTGGAGACCTTTCTTCACAGTTACTACATCCCAAACCAGAAAGGTTGTTGCTTGGATAAGGATTCACGAGCTACCCATCAACTCTACAATGACCATTTTCTATGGTGTGTGGGGAACAAACTAGGGTTAATGCTAAAGATTGACAAGTTAACCCCTATCCACATAAGAGGTAAATTTGCGAGGATTTGTCTGGAGATCAACCTCAACAGGAAGTTGGTCTCTATGATTAATGTCATGGGTCACATTATCAAATTAGAATATGAGGGTTTACATGTTATATGCTTCAATTGTGGTGGATACGGACATAAACAAGATCAATGCGTCCCTCTTATTGGCCAAGCTCCCAATCCAACTACTGATAGTGGAAAGCAAACCTTAGGGGCCATGGAAGTTGACGATGGCGAGCATAACTTAGCCTCACCAATCGTGACGAATAGGGAGACACAATCAAAGGTTGGGGAAGTTGCAAAAATCATGGAGGAGAATATATCCTGTCCAAATTCTAAGGCAACGTATGGACCATGGATGATAGTAAAACGAGGGAAAAAACCGGGCAAGTATCATAACAACCTAAGCTTTAAAAAAGCCACTATCCATTCACGGGATTCACGGAATAATTCAGGTACGATTACCAATCAATCTTATAATACTTTGATTATGCCACATCAGCAAGAAGATGGGTCTCTCTCTCCAAAGAATACCCACGTGAAAATACCCATGCAGCCCATGCACATGGTTGAATCCAACAGTAAAGCACCAGTTATGAGCCATGTAACTAAAATTCGAAATCCCAAGGCAGGTAAAAACCCAAAATTCACACGGGGTCATGGCAACCCATTTATTGGAGGGCATCCAAACTTAATGATTGGGCAAGATAGGCATATTAAGAATCGACCAAACGAGGCAAACCATAAGGACAAAGTCTCGTTGGTGAATCCCAGTCCACCCATTGCGGGCACAAGTTCACATGGAACCTCTGTCAAAGTCATGGATCAACAAGAAAATTCCCGCAAAGTCCTTGATGGCCTACAAACCATCGATGTATTAACTAACTCAAAGATTGTCATGAATAATACCTCAGCCCAAGTGGTATTACTAGATGCAGAAACCCAGGCCTTTGCGAATGCATTGAGAGCACACCTCGACCCATCTTATAATAATAAGCTCTGCAATACTACAACTCACAACTCAAGTACAAAGGAGGGTGATGACGAGGAAGGGATTTTGAATCCAAACAACTCAAACAGGTTTTAATGAATTTTTTTAACCTGAAATTGTAGGGGAGCAGGAGCTCGTGGTTTTTGCGACATTAATGAATGAGATCATCAATGAATTTAATGTGGGTCTACTCTTTCTTATGGAAACACACATTAGTGGCGACAATGCACTAAGGATTGCACGTTGAAT